GCCGGTAGCAACAAAAACAGCGGAGAACCATGCAAAAAACGCATCTTCGCACGGGCAGCCCGTGCGCTGGCCAATTATTATGTGAAATATTATGTGGCAGGACAGATGAAAATTTAGCGCAAAAACTATCAACCCAGAAACCAAAAAAGCTAGGAAGTTGAAATTTTAGAAGAATGTTCTCTGGTTGCTTATGACTCCGCAAACTTAATTCAGCCCTTGCGGATGCCTAGGCTTCATGTTGAGGCATATGAAAGCTTTGGCACCAAAATTACTGAATCGAGAACAACAAAATTTTGCCAAACTCTTTTTCCTGGAAAATGTGGAAGGAGAGCTATTTGTTATAAAGAATCGGTTTCCACCAGGTTAAGTCTCGAATTTGATCAACGGCATGATTGCTAGACATTGGGCAGCAGCACGAATCACTGTCGTCGAAAATAAATAAAATTACAAAGAGGATTTCGTTTCACTGACAATCAGTTGATTTTTTGATAATGCAAGACTCGTGACGTTCACAAGCTGAAGACAAAAGCCAACACATGTCCGGTCGTACCTAACCGTCACTCACCGAAATTTACCCCAAAAATAGTCTGGCCAATGCCTACGATGCTTGAAAGTGTTCCACTTCCATGCCAATGTATTTTTTTCGAAAAGCTGCAACGTTGTCCTTGAATAAAAGTGGATCCACTTTTGTTTGACTGCTAATTAATGATGCACCAGATGGCCATACTTCGGCGACAAGCTGCAAAGAGAGATTCAGCAACGACAGTTAGCAGCCTAATGTAATAGATACGCAAGGATCCAAAAGATTTTTTCTCGCCAAAAATGTTCAAGACACAAAAATCTATGCAATTCATTTGTAAAAAATTTTAGCTGTTCAGAAAAACACATCAAAATAGTCACTTAAAAAATATCCATAATCCATTCCATAATCCACTTAAAAAATATCCATAATCCACTTAAAAAATATCCATAAATAAAAAATATCCATAACGCAACCAAATTCTGTAGAATTTGTTCATTCGTTTCGATGGTAAATTGATGCCAAGCTCATGCCGGAAAGTTGAGTCTGTTGAAAGAGGGAACCATCGATAGTTCTATCTGGGGGGAAGGCGGGAGAAAGGGGTGCTACCAGCAACTGCTACCAGTCCCTTTCACCTACAATACAGCCGCTTCTCATGCGAAATGAGTGAGGAGGGAATTTTGACTATTGCTAAACGATTCCATCACAAAATTATGGACTGACATACTTCTCAAATGCAGCGTGAGCAGTTTTTTGCTTGAAAATTTATCGCTTTCCTAAACAGGAACTGTAGTGGCTCAAAAAATACCTTATTGAAACAGAGAGTGTAATTTTTGGTAAACATCCATTTATCAGCCACTCTGTTGCCAATCAGAATTGGCGATTGCCCAGTCAGCTCAGTTACCATCATATTCATCAATAATCCATAACAATGCGCGAATTTCGAGGCTATTTCCTTGGCCGGTGTTGGAACCCACTGCCAAAACATTGATAGATATTCCCTTAAAGGAATTTTTTTCAAAGGTGTTACTGCCATCGGTCAGAAATTCTTCTGTTTTCCTTAATCAGCTCTATACCGTAATTTAAAAATCACTTGCTCAAGACATACTCATTCAAAACGCGTCAAGGACATCTTGAAAAGGCTAAACCTATGTGGTACTTCAGGAGAACCGTTAGGTCGATATTCCTTCCAGAAAAGAAATCAACATCAGTATCCACAGTACGACTAAAGCCAGGCAGTGCAGCAACGATAGAGTAACTGGAAAAGTTATTAACGTGCAGCTGAAAAGTCAGACTGTAATTTCGAGCTGAACCAAGCTCGCTCTTATTCTATCACATAACACAAGACTTCCAGAGGCTTAATTTCTCATTTACCACATAACTGTTTACATTTTTAGGTGTAATCAACATGCCCCATCTGGCGATTTTTAATGGTGTTGCAGGCCCTGTAGTCAGAAAACAAGTGAAAAAAAACTGATTACAGAGCAAAAAAATTCACTTCCTCATTAAGGCAAGATGAAAGAGAACAATCGAATACTGATGGCTCGGTGTAATTTCAATTGTTCGTAGCTTTTCATCCGCCTAAAACAGAAAACTGGTGTTTGCTGTAATTTTGAATGAATTAACTGTACTTGCCTGATTAGGACACGTTTTAACTTCACATGCTTATAGTCGACTTTTCGAAGTCGTCTTTAAAAGAAAATTATATCACGAGTAAGGGTGTACGTAGAAGGTTTCGGAATTATGAAAAACGGAAATACATCAATTCTGAAGATTATTTCAAAACTCATATTACAGCAATCAATATGAATATTCACAACGTCTACTAAAACTATGATTAGTAAAGCAATGAGTGCCAGTGATATTAATTCGACATTTTTTTTGTCGTACCATTATCCTTTAATTGTGTTCCATGTTCTGGGAGTAACAACTTTGAGACGAAATGGTGCTGATCAACACACATGAAGAATATCTGGAAATGGCTAAGGCCTTGCCAATTACATATTTACAGAGAGCAACTGAGCTGCTAACCCTTTAGAAGACGAAACGAATGTCAGAATCACCAGCAAGCGGAACAATAGATGATGCAAGATTGGTCAAAGCGGCTATTTACCTAGCTTACCAAACAAGTTACAAGGCTGAAACTTTGCAGAGATATCCACGAACGGTCTAAATCCAGCTTGGAAGCGAAATCTCCTAGCAGCTCACAAAATTTTGAGAAGCAGTTACAGTTGGTCGAGTATGCAAATATGAACCGCACCGAATTTGGCAACTCGGAAGAAATTACAGAATAACTGAAACCTTCAAGTGAGCTGGAAAAAACCCATAAAGTCTTTCCGGTTCCGTGTTCGACACATCCAGCACAAACTGAACATCATCGGCTGTGATGGTAACGCGTTCATCCAAAAATAATACAAAACGGCCAACAATTGTGGTCCGAAACGACTGAGTTTGGCTAACAATATCACAGTGCGTCTAAAATTTAAAAGAAATCAGCTGCTCCAAACACTCCGAGTAAATACTAGTACCAATGATCTCAGTTTCCACAGATCACATTCAATGACACTATAAAACTTGC